ACCCACACCCATCTGTTGATATAATAGAATAGAAGAGAAACAAATAGAAGTCAATGATACTGTGACACATTTTAATTTCTAAACTTTCATTTTCATTTTATCTACTGACCACTTCATTTAGTTACAAACCGATATCATTAACACCTGACTATTTCATCAGTTAACCACTTAAATGGTAGCCATATTTTTTTAGCACTAAAATCCATTTATAAAATGGAAAAGCTTGTGATACAATGCGTAAATAAACTATTTTTCTAGGTATTCACTGTTATGTATAACATCAAAATTTATTAATCTAATCATCGAGCTTTTAAATTCACATTTCAATTAGAAAAAAAACAAGACAAAATCGGTTTCTAAGATTTTAGAAAGCTTCTTTATAATTATGCTATCATATCTTTCTGAATAACAAGATTTTTTTACAATCTGTTGCTGTAATTTGATGTATTGTATCTCCAATAACAATTATTATCTAATGGCTTTATTTGAAACGAAAAAGAATTTACTTTAAAAAGCACGAATCGAAAAGAGTATTGAAGAGTATGAAGTAGAAATTTGTATCCACCACTTCTTCTCTTTTCTACTCACCTGTTATACATATTAATAACGATTCGTCACTGACATTATTAGCTAGTTTAATCCTGGAGAGATTGCGCTAACAGTATTTTTTTTTTATTAATTAATGAATCTAAATGAGTGTGAAAAAATATTATAATAAATAAAAAGTTATATTATTCATTTCTATCAATACCAGTGCCAGAAACTTTTTATATAACATCAATTTTTTCCTTTCACCTGGCTACTGTTCCTAATTATCAAATAAAATAATAAAGTTATAACGGAAAAACAACTGTATGAATAATAGTATTATTAATTTTTAAAACTTCAGTCCATTCTTTTTCTTTGTTTCGTTCAACAAATGGATAAACATCTTTTAGACGATTGCATTTAACTGTTACTACTTCTTGTCCAGTTTCATTTCTGTGAGTCCAAAAATGAGATTTACATTCATCAAAAGGATCAAACTCAAGTAAACGTTCAGGTTTTCTTGGTGCTGGTACCCATAAGTATCCAAGTGGTCTTAAAA